TTACCCACGGTTTCAGTTACCCACAGTCAACTGTGGTCCAAAAATATTAAATGGAAAATTCTAGAAATAAAAAATCCATGTTTTAAATTGCACACCGTTCTCAGTAGCTCTGTAAAATCTCTCCTCCGTTCCGCTCCATCTTTGCCAGGACCCGAATCCTCCTTTTGTCCAGCATCCCCACCTGTTAGTCACTTAGTAGCCTCTCTGCTATCAGATCAACTGTTGTGGTATTGCTGTGCTTGTGATCAAGTAACCTTTGCAGTAGTCTAATAGTATTTCACAATGCCTACATCTTCGCCTCACTCCATCTCATCATGTAGGTGTTGTATCATCTCACATCATCATCATGTGGTACCATACAATATGATATTTTGAGAGAGAGAGACCATGTCCACATAACTTTTGTTGCAGTACATTGTTATAACTATTTTATTATTAGTTATTGTTGTTAATCTCTTATTGTGCCAAATTTCTAAATTACACTTTATCACAGGTATGTAAGTATAGGAAAACATATCATATGTCTAGAGTTCAGTACTATCCACGGTTTCAGGCATCCACTGGGGATCTTGGAATGTTTCTCCCACAGCGGGGAACTACTATAATGTGGCCAAGGACACTGGATTCTAATCCAGGTCTGTCTGAACCCAAACCCAAATTAACAACTTCCTGTGCACCTCCGTGCACAGTTGGAGGAAAACAGGACTGACCCATAGGCTACTTGTGAAATGCCTTGGATAAGTTTCCCATCCCAGCCCACCCTGGAGAGGAGGCTGACTTTCCTTTTCAAGCTCTAGCCTCTGCCCCCCTTCTTCAGAACATGAATAAATTTCAGATATTCCTCAACCTAGTCTTTGTACGTATATTTTAAATTTTTTATTTTTCAGTTAGAGTTGACATTCAATAATATTTTATATTAGTTTCAGGTGCACAGCATAGTGGTTAGACATTGATATAATTTATGAAGTGATCCCCCAAATTAGTCTAGTACCCACCTGGCACCATACATAGTTATTACGTTTTTGACTATATCCCCTACGCTGTACTTCACATCCCCGTGACTATTGTGTAACTACCAATTTTTACTTCTTAATCTTATCACCTTTTTCACCTAGCTCCCCAATTCCTCTCCTATCTGGCAATCACCAGTTTGTTCTCTGTTTCCATGAGTCTGTTTCTGTTTTCTTTATTTATTTTGTTCTGGTATTTCTCTTTCTCTGTCTGACTTATTTCACTTAGCATAACACACTCTAGGTCCCAGGTATTTACCTGGAGAAAACTGAAACACTAATTTGAAAAGATATACGCACCCCTATATTCACTGCAGTGCTATTTATAATAGCCAAGACATGAAAGCAACTTAAATGCCCATCAATAGACAAGTGCATAAAGAAGCTGTGGTACATATATACAAAGGAATATTACTCAGCCATAAAAAATGAAATCTTACCATTTGCAATGACATTAATGGTCTTAGAGTGTATTATGGTCTTTATAGTTTTAATATTTTATTTCTAACTCAGAGAAGAGAGGCTCTGAAGGAATTTTAGCTATCTCCCAGGGGTAGAAATAGAGGGAGGGTTGAGCCTAGGAAACCTCAGAAATGGACCACTAATTTTGCTTATCCTTAAGGTAAACAAGCTTTAATTCTTCTTGGGGTCTGCAGACACCCAGAGCAACCACCTGCTTCCTCTCGCCCTGACACTGGGTGGGACGATGGGTGTGTGGAGGCACTGCTGGGGCTTAAGGCCTGTTCCGAAGATGTTCTTAAGAATGCCAAGGGTGGGTGGGCATTTTCCCCAACTTGTGTAGCATAGATGGGCAGTCCAGGCCAATGCTCTCCCTACAACAGGATTCGTCTGCCCAGACACCCATAGGCTGTGGCATTATTACGTGCTCACGGAGCCAGTGTTCAACATCCAGGATCTGTGAGAGCTGTTTGTTAAACATTCACATTGTTAAAAATGAAATGATATAAAATTATAAGTAAATAAAATACATACTAAAGATAAAGGTCATAAATGCTAACTACTTACCACTTTCTGATTATTTTATCACATTTTATTGTTTCTCAAGGTCTTGGGGTTACTTGCATTTCTTATATCTGCATGTTGGAAATACTACACTATAACATGCTCCTGTGCATGGCTTCCCAACTCTGCATTTGGGGCCCTCACACTGGTAGCTCAATGTGGGCCATGATGGGACTATTTACACCACAGAAATCAGCAAATGCCACAAGTCAGAGCAGAATTTTCAGAGAGCTGGTTGCTAAATATTTATCAGCACACTACTGCATACAGGTAAAATTTATGTTTTCAGGTATTTGTGACACATTTTAGGTTATTTATTTTCTGTTTGCTCTCTACCCTACCTTTTTAAATTTTCAATAATACATCTCTGTATCTCTTATTTCTACCCAAGTAGGAAAATCTCTGAGAATGAAGGGTGACCATGGTCCTCCACCTCTGTGAGTCGAGGCCTTCTTCTAGCTTCAGCCCTATTCTAACAGCAGAGCCATGGAGAGGGGAGGTTGTCACCAGCCCTTTCTGAGAGACAGGCTAGGGGTAAGGGGGACACTGTCACCAAGTATCTGAACTCCCAAGCTGATGCTAGCTGGGCATAAGATTAGTGTTTCCTGTTTGCCCCATAGGAATCACCTGGGGAATTCTCATTCCATTGATGAGCCTGGGGCCCCTGAGACCTGAATTTCAGAAAGCTTGAGGGGAATATTCCTGGGAAATACTGTAGAAATTAACAGCACTTTTGGGATTCAAATCTCTGCTTTGATACTTTCTGTTCATGTGACCTTGGACAAATCACTTAAATTCATAGAGCCTTGGGTTTTTTACTTATAGAAGGGGAAAAATTAAAGCTACTTCATTTTTATTTTACTTTTTGTAATATCAAAAGCTGTTAACCTTTGGCATTAGGAGAAAAGGGAAATCAATTATTACATGTGTTTACACAATAATAAAATACTTTTGAAAAACAATACTTCCATTTTCTTGTTAGTTATTATACCTAACACAATAACCCTGAAATTTGCTGAAATGAGCTTTATTTTACTTTTGAAGAATCTTAAATTTAGAGACAAGTAACTTGTCTTAGATCACTTAGATAATATATAGAGCCCAAATCCTAACCCACATGTGTTGCTTTCAAAATGATGTAGCCATTGGATTATATTCTTGGACTTATCATGTGCTAAGTCACTCATTCAAGAGACACTGATGGGGGGGGGGCGGCGGCAATAGGCTCCAGAGACTCAAGCCAAATTGTCCATCTGCTGCTATATACTGTCTGTGAAGCCACTGACCAGCCTCCTCTCCCGCCACTTCCACTTGCAGCCCTGCTCTCAGAGTCTACACCTCCTTGCTTGCTCAAAACCTGCTGCTGCGGGTGGTTCTACCTAAGTGAACTGCAGCCTAGCCAGCTCCCCAGGCTGCACCTATCAGATCCTAGATTCACGAGCATGGTCTGGGGCCCAGACCTCCAAGGCGGGTGGCTGGATTAAAGAGGTGTATCTTATCTCCATTTAATTAAAGATGGGGAACTCCAGATGTACTACAAGGTTCCCATAATTCCCCCATCTTGAATGCACAGGTTATAGCTTTAACCCCAGAAGAACAAGTTGGAGAGCACGTCAAGACTCTGTACTTTTTAAAAATGGAAGTCTGACTGCAAAACAATTCATGTTCGATAAAGACATTCTGGAAAATAGATAATGAAATTTACCCCCCGTCTTAACACTCAGATCAGAGAAAACTACTGCCAACATTTTAGTGAATATCATTCTGATTTTCTTCGTAATGCATGGAAACTAAGATTTTGTTGCCTTTATCTCTAGTAACTGCTTCTAAAATTAACTTTATAAGTGAGAAGCAAAGAATATCCATGAGAGCAGTTTAAAGGCAATTTTCTCACTCATTTGTTCATTCAACATATATTTGAGTATGTATTATATGCCAGTCACAGTTCTAAGTGCTGGAAAACTGGAAGGGACAAGCTCAATGACTTTAAGGAAGCCTGCAGCATGGGGAGAGAGAAAATGGACAAGCAAATACATATGAGAATACAACTTGTGACACATGTCATGAAGGAAATGAACAAGGTGGAAAAGGTAAAGGAATGTGAGAGATGCTATGGGCTGGACCTTCCTTAGGTCAGAGAGGACCTTTCTGAGAACGTGCTCATGACATAAAGATGATGTGGACTGTAGCAACCTGGTATAGGTCAAAGTCACTATGTAGCAGTAGCTGTTTGTCACTCAAATCCATGTTTCAATTTTGTTATTTAGTTAACATGGGTAGATTCTTGAAGTAAGCAAAGATCTTAGAAGTGATTTAATTCAACACCTTCACTTTATAAATGATGAAAATGTGGTCAAGGGGAAAACTTAGCCAGAGTCACCTTGCTATCAAATAACAGAACAATGGCCAGAGGCTAGCTTTTTGACCCACAAATCTCATCTGTCATTCCTGTAACATGCAGTTCCTTTTAGAGAAGGTTAATATTAGAAATGTTGCTCAGTATAGTTCCCATAAATAAACTGTAATCCAATATAATCAATTACATAGTATTTGTATCTTTTTTCCCTGACATAAAGTCTGGGGTGAAAGAAAAAACATGGGGTTTAAAGTGTGACTTAACATCCAGATGCCTTTTTATCTTATAATTTTTTAAAAAATTTTTCTGTCTTTTACTAGCTGTGTGATCTGGAAAAACTGCTTCAGCCTTCTGAGCTTTAGTTTCCTTATTTATGAAACCAGAATGCTTAGTAAAGATGATTATTATTCCAATGTTTAAATGGAGAAAATAGTGAGAATTTATAGGGAAAAAAATGGCATATGTAGAGTGATAAAATTTAATGTCTTCAATGCAGGGGAACTAGAGTCGGTTGTTGGTTGGGTTTTTTATGCAACTGACTAGAACTCTAGTTAGTAACAGAAACCCTGGGTCTCTGCGTGGAGAAACTCAGGTACCCAGCTAAGCGGGTCAAAGCCACGTTGCTGTGGTTTTTCTTTTTAAGATACCAAACTTTCGGGTTTTCTTTAGTGACTCTTTTATTACACTTACTTTATTTATTGCATCATAAGCTGAGCAGTGGTGGTTTCATTTTTACCACGTGAACTAAATTATTCCACTGCAAATCTCCCTGGGGTTCTTGGAAAAATATCTAAAATTGATAAGAAACAGGACATTTTAAAGGAAATACCCGACTAAGAAATTGTTGAATGTTCTGCAGAGTTTGCTGAAGTTTTAGGGAGATCCAAACCGTCTCTGTAGAAAGGTCAATTTAAAGGCCTATTTTCATGTCTCAGGGACCTGCATGGAGTGCTCATTTTTTAGAACGCTGGAACAGACAGGAATAGGCCTAATTTTTAATGTCTTTGGGCCTTTAGCTATGAGGTTCCTCAGGCAGGCTTTTCTTTTTCTAATCCAGCTGGGTTGCCACAGACCAAGCAGAAGTGGCTTGACCCGGTGAGAAAATGTGGGCTCCATCCCAAGGAATGAGATCATACCGTTCCCAGAGCCCTCTGGTTCCCATCCAACTAGAGGCTGGTTTCCTCTTGCAACCCCTGGCAGGCATTTCTGCCCACAAGAGGACAGTCGCACTGTAGCTTGGCTGCAGCAGTATTTCCAGAGGGGCGGGCAAGGGAGACAGTGACAGATGGCTCTGAGATGGGACAACAACCTGCACAGGAAAGAAACATGGTAAAGCAATCTCGCTTCCCTCTTGCCTTTTCAAAGGATCTTTTCTTCCTTCTTTTTTTTTCTTCCTTTTTAAAAGAAAAGAAGATATGAGTTAGTATTGAATGTAGCAAGCATAGAAATGAGTATTTCTGTGCTGGTGGCTGTATGTCTGAGTTCATAGGCTTGTTGGGGTCTCAGCTCACAGAACTCATTAAAGCAGCATAGAACAATTAAAAATCACGTGTAAGTGAATAAATAAAACTTTTATAATCTAAGTAAAATTTAGTATAAACAATTTTAGCAAACAAAGCAAATATTATTATAACAAATACAGCAAAAAAAGCATTAACTTGTTCTCTATGGAGAAAGGGGCTTGACTCTTACATTAACTAGGTTAGGTGAGGTATTCTTACTGTGATAGGACAAGCTCTTCAGAAAAATGTGGAATTCCATGGGATTACACATACATATGATGGTCTCCAGCAGTGGTTCTCAAAGGTTAGCATACCGAACAGCTCGTAAAAAATGCAGATTCCTGAATCCCATCCCTCGACAGTCTCATTAAATAAGTCTGGGGGTACAACCCAGAACTCTGCATATTTTAGTCAGTTCTCTAAATGCTTCTAATGCAAGAATAGGGCCCTGGACCAATTTTGGAAACCCTAGCCTCCCCTCTCCCAAAAGAAAGAGAACTTAGTGTGAAATATACAAAGTCAAACTGCAAGAACATGGTGTCATAATTCCTAAAGCCAATGTTCATACTTTAAAACATTGGCTTATAAGCATGTGTATATGCCTTTACATCTGTCACCTTATGTTCCTAAAATAGCAGCATTTGCTTAGAAAAAAAATCAGGGAAATAGAAAAGTTGTCAGTGCTACTTATTTACTTAAAGCATCTGAGAGGGTAGTGAAGAAGATACAAAACTCCTTTAATAAAGGCAACTCTGTAGCTCAGAGCTTAGTTTAATCCATTGAATAGAAGAGATTCTTGTGATCCTAATATGAATGAGTCCTGCGATTTAAGGCCTATCCAAAAGCCCTTTGTGTTCTGAGGTGACTGAATTACTCTTTCTGTAATGGTGTTTTGTAGTTTTGTTTTTGAAAAAATATTGTTAACATATTTTGAGAGAGAGAGAGAAAGAGAGAAAGAGAAAGCTGGAACTGCTTAATTACTATTCTACCTTTACTTACAGCCTTGTTTTGTTTTTTTTGTACATAGGGCAAGTTATTTAATCTCTCTGTGCCTCAGTTTCTTCATTCATAAAATTAAGGACGATAATCGCTTATTTTTCAATTCTAAGATGAACATTGTCCCCCATATTTTAATATCAATGAAATCAGACTACACTTCGCCATTGACAATGAAATAACATTGTGTCCTAGATTAATTGGTAGCATTTTTTTCAGTGGAGCATAAAATAATGGAATGTCTTATGATGATGTTTTAGACTAGATGAAATGTGATAATAATACCTGGATCCTACAGGGTTAACTAAGAGACAAAATGCTTAGACCTGTGACTGTTCAATATTAATCACTTAATAAATATAATCTATTAGTATTCTTATTTATGGATGGATTATAAATTAACTAGTCCCTCCTTGTTGGATTTTTAGATTATCTCCAATATTCCTACCGTTATATACTACATTGACTATCCTTGTATGTAAATCTTGATGTGCATTTCTAATTAGGATAAATTCCCAAAAAGTGGAATTACTAAGACAAAAAGCATGGCCATATTGAAGAGATGGATTTATAATCACAGTAACTAAAACGTCAAACCTGGGTTAGAATCACTACTTACCCTGTGATCTTGGTCATTGTACTTAACCTGTCTACATCTCAATTTTTGATACAATTAGACAAATACTATACCGGCCAGTATTAGACAAATACGATACTGGCCAGACAAATACGATTCAAATATGATTTTGAACAGTAAGTTCAAAATCAACGTACTGTTCAAAGTCAACGTAAGCTATTTTATGAGGACACTGAGACACTACCGGCATTGCATGGCTCCATGCTGGCTTTGGATGAGAATGTATTTCGCATTGTTAAACCGCCAGTTTTCAGCAGTGACCCCATGTGGTCATAACAGAAACAGCAGCAGCAGAAAATAGGCATGTGCTGTCAGAAATGATCAGATTCATCAATTCTTTCCTCTGATATTTGTTTGTTGACAGGACTGTCCATTTGGACCACAGAAGCCTGTGCCTCAGATTCTTGAACCATCTGAGACAGAAAGACTCAAGAAAGGGATAATGAATGCTGTCAATCTGAATATGAGAGTCTGAATGATTGCTGTAAATATTGAAAGATGATCTATGTAAATCTCATACATATATATGAACTGGTGAAAGAGTTCACTATCATTTTTACAGAAGCAGCATAGGAACAGTTTATCTCTCCTTATAATATAACCATGAGAAACCACTTTGGAAATTTTATTTGTACCTTATAAATCCCAGCAAGCTCTGAGACTGAATTTTAGTGAATGGGTGGGATTGGCATGCTGTTACCCAAGCTGTAATCCATGAAAGGCCTCCTGGCCTGAAGTTCTGGAGGCGTTGGGAGGCCTAGTGTTTATAAATACAACCAGAAGTGTTTATATAATGAGTACTTCGAATATATTAAACAACTGGCATGTCAGATGACGAATTTACATATTTCATAATTTTTTTTTCAGAAAACATCATGTCAATCTTAATTCCATGATTTCTACAATCTACTCATAGGGATTAAATAAAAGAAGTATAATTTTTAAATAATCTTTTACTTTCTTAAGTCTATGGATGCTTAGAACTATAGAGCTGCAAGAAAATTTCCATTGGGAGCAAAACCATATAAACCCAAAGATATGGATGTGAATGGTCAGCTGAATTATAATAAATTTAGATACATAATTATAAAGCTTTATATGATTTCAAGGTAATTTGACCATATTTAAGAATTTATATAATAATTTCATTAACAAAATTATATGAGACATAAAATGTTTGAAGGTACTTCCTTTCCCCCCCTGTATGTACATGGTATAAAATTAAAAGGGTACTAAGAAGGTTGACAGTGAAAAGTGAGTCTCCCTGCCTCCATTCATCGTTAGATATTCAATTCATCTCCTCTGAAGCAAACTGCAGATCTGAAGTCATTTTAAATTTTTAATGAAGTATTTTAAATCTTTAAAATAAAATTTATAATTATAACATATTGAAAATCTTAAAAAAAATCAAAGGTATAAATAATCCTCTTTGCATACTGTCTTCCAGCCTTTCAGTTTCATTTCCAAAATCAACCAAGGCTACCAGAGATAGTCTGTACACACACAAGTAAGTGTGTGCGTGTGTGTGTGTGTGTGTGTGTGTGTGTGTGTGTACAGTGCCCTACTCCTTGCTTGTTTTACTCAGCAATTTTAACAATGTATCCTGAAGATAATTCATTCACTTAGGTTATTTCTTATCCCATGCTATAAGAAATCAGCTGTAAATTTGAGCAAGTATATTCATACAATAAATTTAGAGAAATGGAATTGTTTGATTAAAGCCTATATGCATTTGTAATTCTGACAAGTATTGCTAAACTATCTGAAAGACATTTTTAAAAGGTTGTTCTTCAAGTAATTCAAAGAAACTCAGACATGTTTTACATTTTAATTTTATTACAAATCCTGGTTTAATAATTAATGGAGTGGGAAAGAAGACCCTGGAAAGTTTTGAAAAAAAGAATGGCATGATCACAACATTCTAGCCAGTGGGCTGAGAACAGACTATACTGAGCATGACAGAAAGACGCAAACCAGTGAAAAGGTTACAACAAAAATATTGGTAAACCGAATGCAGCAACATGTGTAAAGGGTAATATACCATGACCCAATGAGACTGTTGCAGGAACGCAAGGTTGATTTAACACCTAAAGGTCAATTAATATAATATACTATATTAAAGGAATAAAAAAAGCCCATCTCGATAGATAGGGGGGGGAAATGTTTTGACAAAATCCAGTACCCTTTCATGATAAAAATGCTTAACAAAGAAAAGGCAAGCGGAACTTCTCCAACCTGTTAAAGGGCATCTGCAAAAGACCCACAGCTAACGTCATACATTATAGTGAAAATGCATGCTTTTCCGCTAAGAACAGGAACAATATAAGGATGTTCATCCTCACCACTTCAACATTGTATTGGAGGTTCTAGCTAGGGTAATGAGGCAAAAAAAAACAAAACAAAACAAAAAACAAAAAACAAAAAAAGAAAGAAAAAGAGCTTTCGGATTGTAAAAGGAGAAATAAAACTGTCTCTCATTGCAGATGACATGAGTTTGTATATAGCAAAAATCTAAGGCAGCTACAAACTCCCCCCAAAAAACTGTTAGAACTAATAAATGAGTCAGCAAGGTTATAGGATATAATGTCAGTATCTAAATGTCAATTGTAGTTCTATACACTTGCAATGAACAATATAAAAACAATTGTTTATAATAGCATTAGAAAGAATAAAGTACTTAAATAAACTTAATAAAATTTAATAAAAGTGTAAGGCTTATACACTGAAAACTGGAAAACATTGTTGAAACTAAATATGACTAAAGAAACTAAAGATGACCTAAATAAATGGAATGTTCTCTCATGTTCATGTTTTAGAAGATTTGATGTTGTCAAGATGACAATACTCCTGAAATTGATCCACAGATTCAACACAATCCCTATCAAAATCCCTTTCAGGGGGATTAATTAACAAGTTCATCTTAAAATTCATGTGACAATGCAGAGACCCTTAATAGCCAAAAGAGTCTTGAAAAAGAAGAACAAAGTTGGATGACTCACATCTCAATTTTAAAACTTACTACAAAGCTACAATAATCAAGACATACAGGTCAGTGAAATAGAATGGAAAATTCAGTATAAATCCAGTGTATGATCAACTGACATCAATAAGTACCATTTAATAAATACCAGTACCATTTAATGGGAGAAAGAAGAGTCTTTCTGACAAATAGTACTGGGACAATTGGATAGCCACATCAAAAAAAAAAAAAAAATGAAGTTGGACCTTTACCTCAAAACATATACCAAAATTAACTCAAAATGGATCGAAGACCTAAATGTAAGAGCTAAAAATATAAAAATCTTTGAAGGGTAAATCTTCACAATCTTGAGTTAGGCGATGTTTCCTAAATATGACACTAAAAGCACAATCAATAAAATGAAAAATAGAGAAGTTGGATTTCATCAAAATTAACTTTTATGTTTCAAAGGACACCATCAAGAAAGTGAAATTCACTACAGCCATGCCACCCTGAACGTGTGCCATCTCATCTGATCTCAGAAGCTAAGCCGGGTCAGCCTGGTTAGTACTTGGATGGGAGACTACCTAGGAAGACCAGGTGCTGTAGGCATAAAAAAAAAAAAAGAAAAGAAAGAAATTTAACCCACAGAATGGGATAAAGTATTTACAGATCATATATCTGTAAGGGACTTATATCCAGAATGGATATAAGAGACATGTCCAGAATGGATATAAGAGACTTATGTCCAGAATATATAAAGCCCTCTTAAAACAATAATAAAAAGACAAATAATCCAGTTTAAAAATATCTGATCTGAATAAACATATTTTTGAAGAAAATACACAACTAGCCAATAATCACATGAAGAGAGCTCAACATTCACTAGAGAAATGCAAATCAAAAGTGAGATATCATTTCATATCCATTAGGGTGATTACTGTTGAAAAAACAAAATCAAAAACAAAACAAAATAAAAAGTATTAGTAAGAATGTGCAGAAATTGAAACTCTCGTACACTACCAGCGGGAATGAAAATGGTGCAGCTCCTTTGGAAAATAGCCTTGCAGTTCCTCAAAAGATTAAACACAGAGTTCTCATATAACCCAGCACTTCCACAGCTAGGTACATACCCAGCAGAAGTGAAAACATATGTCCATACGAAAACTTATACATGAATGTTCATAGCAGCATTATTTATAATAGCCAAGATGTAAACAAGTTAAATGGATGACAAATATCTATTTGTCAGTTACAAATGGATAATGATATGTGGCATATCCATTGTTAAAAACAAGGCAACAAGCCCAAAATGGAGTCTCTTATGCTGAGCCTCACTTCACCAAACCTAGACTTAATTATAGTTTTTGCTCTCCCAGAAATGGAATCGAACCAGTCAATGCCTGATCAACACTAGTTAGATAATCTTCATGATAGACCCCTGCCATCTTCTTTGCAATAACCAACCCACTTTTTTTACCTAATATAACTTCCTTGTTCCTGATCCCTTTTGCTTGCAGAAGTCTTTCATTTTTGTACAGCTCCTACCAGCTCCCTTCTGTCTCCTAGACTGATGCTTTCTGATTCCAATTAATTTTTGCTCAAATAAACTCTTACAAATTTTAATATGCTTCAGTTTATCTTTCAAAACCATACAATAGAATATTATTTGGCTACAGAAAGGAATGAAGTACTGAAGGATGCTACGACACAGGTGAATCTTGAAATTAGTATACCAAGTAAAAGAAGCTAGTCACAAAAAAACCCCCAACATATTGCAAGACTCCATTTATATGAAATGTCTAGAAGAGGCAATTCCATAGAGGCAGAAAGTAGATAAGTAGTTATTAAGGACTGGGGGAAGTTAGTGATGAGGGGCTATAACTAATGCGCACAAGGTTTCTTTTGGAGGTGATGAAATGTTCTTGAAATGATTGCGGTGATTGCTGCGACTATACTAAAAACCATTGAATGGTACATCTAAAGGGGTGAAATGTTTAGTATATGAATGAAATCTCAATAAACTTGTTATAAGAAAAAGGAAAAATAAACCCTATACCCGACAACCTAAGTTTAACTCCATGCTTTCCACTGGTGGTGTAACTTTTGGAATATTATTTAATTTGTGTATGCCTTAGTCTACCCATTAGATAAATGGAGTTGTTATAAGGATTAAGAGTCAATATATTTCAAGCACTTAGAACAGCATCTGGTAAAGAGAAAATATTGTCACTTACACTCTATAGATTCCCAGGTCAGTACTGCTTCTTCTTGACCTTGCTTTCTGTTTCCCTTTTCACGAAACTATTTGAAAGAGTAGGGGGCGTGCTCAATCTATTGGGCTTATTCTCTTACAGTACTGTGGAAGAGTGTAAATAAAACATTTTTAAAAGCTCACGAGTCTTTATTACACGCTTAACTCAATTTCTTCTTTTATAAGCGAACGTCTTTTACCTATTTTGACCCTCTTGGGATGCCATTCTTTTCCGCCCTCAGCGCGCATGCGCAGAAGCCGCGTGCCCTTTCGTCTAAGTGCTTCTGCAACTCTGACAATGGCGACTCGCGGTGTGGGGCTGCTGACCCGTTTACCCCTATGTGCTCAGAAACGTCGCGTCCTGCATCCTATCCACAGGCTTCTCAGTTGCCCAGGAACTGTGGCCACAGATGTCAGGAGAGAAGAGCAGTCCTTCGGAAGCGCGGAGACAGGTGATGGTGCCGTGTCCTGGGTTTGCTTTATAGCTCCGATCCACCGCAGGCGAGGGAAACGGGAAGAGACTGAGATCGTGGGCACACGCGTGGCGGGTGGAAACGGCCGTGGAACCTTTGGCAATAGGATGAGTCTGTGTCCCATGCTCCTCAGGTCTCACTAGGGGAACGTAAGGCCTCCCAGTTGCTCAAGTGTTGCTGGGGTGTGCGACGTTACTTTCTTCGCGCACTCCTGTCCACAGTAATGAAATTGTTTAAGCCTCTCTCAAGTTCAGATCAAGAACACAGTTTGCTAGTATTTTACAACTTGGCGAAATAATGTTCCCAGTAATAACAATGATGCCACACATCAGTCAGTTACTTCATCATTCACAAATGTATCTGATTTTGATACTTACAAGTTTCTGATGGAAGGCAGCTATAATAAAGTCTTGATGAATAACCAGGATTCCTGTCTCCCAAATGTAGGGCTCTACCTAGGAAATTTACTGCTGTCGATTTTATTCTTTTAACCGTCTTGAGCAAAATCAACCTGGTAACAGATAACATCCACTGGAACAGGCCGTTGTCCTACAGACTTTCTATTGCTTGTGTATTGAGAAGCTCACTATTATTGAACCCCTCTTGTGACTGACCCAAGAGCTGTGCATACCTAACTTAAAATTCTTAAAACAATCTAGCAAGAAATGTGTCACTGTCTCCATTTCACAGATGTCAAAAGAGGCTCAAAGAGCTAAATGACTTGTGCAAGGTCTCATAACTGAAATTAGACGAGTGGACCTGTTAAAATGTGTTGATTTCTACAATTTTTGGAACTATAATTTTAAGACGTGAAATTATTTCTGGGAACAGTTCTAAAGTAGGCTAAACATGTTAAATATTTTCCCTTAAACAACAGGATTGCTCTCTTCATCAGACTGTGTGAAAGACATATTGACAGTGAGAAGTGTTACTTAATAAGACATTTCATTGAAATACTGATTGCATTATATTTAGTAAAAGCTTCTTCTGTTAAAAATAGTTAACTGAAAATTGAATAAGGATTCTGCCAAAGAAGCTATTGTAATTTAACATCTGTATAGTTGTTTAAATTTGAGAGGTTTTTTTATGCTCTGAGAAATAAAACTCTGTAAATTTGGTTTGGAAGGAATTATTGTTTTTGCATTTTATACATTAGGAAACAGGCTAGTCCAAATGGCTAAGTTCAAACTTACCCAGCTAGTCAATAGCTAAAATAGGAATAAAACCTTCTGATTCCAAGGCTACACTTTTCACTTATTACAGCTTTGTTGTTTTTCTTAGGAAATGTGCTTCAATTTGTATCATTAGGGTAATATAATGGCTAAGTATTCAGGGACTCTTGTGGGTCATAACAAATGACAAAATCCTCGTTTGCATTGCTTTTCCATTTTTAAAAAGGGTAACAACATCTTATACTCATTTGGAAGCATATAATTTTATAATTGAAAGAAACTTGAGAAATACTCAATTTAGTTTTTCACTCAGTGTGAGAACTCATTGCCAAAACATTCCTAGTAACATTTTCTAGTAACAAGGAACACACTTTCATAAATCAGCCCAATTTATGAAACTGATCTCACAGTTGGTCAGTTCTTCTTCTTGATCCGGAAGCGAATTCATCTTCGATCTGAAGATGCCCTGTTTTTCTTGGTCAACAATGTCATTCCACCCACCAGTGCCACGATGGGTCAGCTCTACCAGGAACACCATGAAGAAGACTTCTTTCTATACATTGCGTACAGTGATGAAAGTGTCTGTGGTCTGTGAAGCTACTGCCCCTTCAGTGGGGGGTCCCATTCTACAAAGAAAGAGGTGGCCCCCTTCCTTGCCCTCTTTCTTCTTCAGGCTCAAACACACCGTTCAGGACCTATACTTCCTAATGTTTGAGGATCTTTTCCAGACCTTTGTAGCAAGAGTGTTAATGGGGAAGATGGCCTCTAGAAACCACCAAGCTGGGGGGTTGGGGGGGAAGCTCTGATAATGGTAGAAAAATGATTATGATGAGCTAAAATCTACCGATTTCTCATTTCCCTGTTAATCTTAGTTTTGACATAGCTTTCATGGGAGTAGTGGAAAGAACCCTGATTTAAGAATAAGAATACATAGTGTATTATTCAGGACCCTTTTGGGTACAGGTGACAGAAACTAACTCAAATTAGCATAATAGGAAAGGGAGGCTTACAATCCATGTTAACAATCCATGTAACCAAACTTCAGAAAGAGACATAGCTGCTTTTTGGTTGACTAGATGGATGTGGTCAGTATTGTTTTCCTCAGCTGTTACTTGATGGCCTCATTATCTCAGATTCTTCTATATGGGGTTGTTGATGGTGGGGGCATGGCCACCAGCAGCTCCATGTTCACGTGCTTGTAGCTTTCTCCAAATGAAAGTATAAAAATACATTTTACCTGAATTTGAAAAATTCTAAGAAATAGCTCTTGACTGATCACACATACACCCTTTGGGCTATGAAGAGCTTTCCAAAATGTGTGATAATCCTGGCCTCTCTGATGAGGTAAGGGTACATGCACTGGGTGGGATAACTGTATTAATGTGTTATTCACACCACAAGTACACATGGTTTTCTGTAAGCAGAGATGTGCTGTTACGGAACAAGGGAGGACAGGTGCTAGGCAGCTAAACAACAGCTAAATTCTGCAAGAGGCCACCTAGCTTATGAGATGTGCAGTTTTTTTCCACTGGTAGTGACACCTGCTCTGTCTATCTCAAAGGATTATTGGAGATTCAGAAGACAGTGTATATGTGAAGGTGCATGGAAACCTGTTAGGTGCTGCACAAGTAGAAGAGTCTCTATACCGTTCAGGACCTGTACTTCCTAATGTTTGAGGGTCTTTTCCAGACCTTTGTAGCAGGAGTGTTAGTGGGGAAGATGGCCTCTAGAAACCACCAAGCTGCAGGGCGGCGGGGGGTGGGGTGG